GAGGTTGCAGTGACCAGAGATTGCACCACTGCACTCCAGCCTGGGGGACAGAGCGAGACTCTGGCTCAAAAAAAAAAAAAAAAAAACTATAGAATTCTTGCTATGTAAGAATTAGCAGGTTACCCTAGGAGACCCTCTTCTGTGAAGATATTAGCCCTCTCCTTAATAAGGATAAGGGCAAATATGTGACTATATAGGGAGCGACGCTACCCAGTGTGGTTCTTAAGATATTTTCTTAAGACACATCACAGGATTTTCAGGTAGGTAGTCAGATAAATGAGGCAGGTCCTTTCCTGTTTGGAAGCAGCGGAGTTTCATGAATTTGGGAGGCTGCCTGCACTGGTTTCTGCTCTTCCCTCTGGTCTCTCGGTGACCCGTCATCCCTGGCGGTCCAGGGCGTGCCTTCTCCATCCTCTGTGCTCACTTCTGACCTGAGACGGTAGCACCATTTTGATGCCAGCAATGTCCCCATTTGATTTCTAGTCCAAACTTCTCGCACACTAAAGACTCAGATATCCACCTGCCCATGTAACATTTCCACATGGAGTCAAGTAAGACTTTTGGAGTGCAGCATGCTCAAAGTGAAATCTTTGTCTGCTTCACTCACCTTGCACTGCTCATCATCCTGCCTTCAGCCTTCCCCATTTCAGCTGATGCTTCGAGTTGCTCAGGCAGGAAACCACAGTCATGCATGACCCCCTTTTTTCTCTGTTCAGAAACTCTACTGGCTTGACCTCCTCACAACCTGACCAACCTCTGTGCCCCCGTGACCAGAGCATCTCTCCATTCCTTCCTGGGTCACTGCAAGAGACTGGCAGGACCCCTTGGTACTGCCCCCCAGTCCCTTCACAGGACAGCCTTGACATAGCGTACAGCAGTCCCACGAGAACATCCTCACAGCCCTCCTAAGTCTCTCCCTTCACTTAGACAGGTGGTCCAAGTTTGTCTGGGTCTCATCTCCTCTTCACACCCTTGCCCACTGCCCTCCAGCCTGCCTGCCTGCCTTCTAGTGACCCTGCACACGCTGGGCCATCGGGAGGGTCCCTGCCTGTCTCCATGGCTGACTCTTTTGGCACATGCAGGTGTCTCTCAGATGCCATCTTTCCATGAGGGGCCCACCTCCCCCACTGCTTCATATTGGAGGGGCCCACCTGCCCATGCTGCTTTGTGTCAGCGGCCCACCGGCCTACCGTGTCCTGCGTGTTTCTCTGTGGACGTGCTATGCACATTACTCACCATTAGGCATGTTTGTGTCTTCTGGGTAGCGCCACCTCCATGGGAACAGTGACCTTTGTCCAAGTTTCTAGAAGAGTTCTGGAGCGTGCTAGGCAGTCGAGTGAGTGGGATCGGATTCCAGGCCAAGGTCCCAAGCTCTCGAAGGTGTGTGACCTTCCTGACTGTTGGCAGCTCAAGAGTAGAGCTGTTGCTAGGTTGTGTCCTATTTTAACGACTGAGATGGTGTGTAAGTCACGTTCATACCAAAGTCTGACTTGCTGGAGGGATCTCCTTCAGCACTAGATTATGATGAAGTCCATTGTGTCTTTAGTGCTTTTCCTTTATATACCGTGGGCAAATCCGGGACACCTGGAATTATCAGGACGTCTGTTTTCTCCCGGCAGAGTACTCTGTCCTGTCATTGGACCTGTCTCTAACTTGAGTAGCCGGTCAGTTAGGACCATGGAGGTGGCGGTGACTGTGGCTGCAGCTTTGCCTGGCTACAGCCTCGAGAAGTAGCTAGTCTTTCCACCTGATAACAAGGTGTGTGACTCGTGCCTTCATCACTCCAGGTTGCCACATAACTGCATATATTCCTCTCACTTCCTCATGACAAACCTGTTCTATGGCAGAGCACAAGGGCCTAAGCCAGCATGGGAGAGATTGACCCAGTATCACACAGAGCAGGTGAGAGCCAGGGTCTCCAAACCCACTATGGGGGAGCCTTGACCAGTACATGTTGAATATTCCTAATCTGAAAATCCAGAATCCAAAATCCAAAACTCTGAGCACCGACATTATGCCACAAGTAGAAAATTCCACACCTGACCTCAATGACAGGTTGCAGTCAAAGCTTTGTTTTATGTCCAAAATTATTTCAAATATTGTATAAAATTACCTTTAGGCTATATATATACAAAGTGTATATGAAACAGAAATCAATTCATATTTAGACTTGGGTCCTGTTCCCAGGATATCTCATTATGTATATGCAAATAGTCCGAAACTAAAAAAATTCAAAATTTGAAACACTTCTGGTCCAAGCATTTTGGATAAGGGATACTCTGCTTGTATCACATGGATCAAGTGAGAGTGAAGGTTTTAACAGGAATTTTCTGAATTCATATTAAGTGCTCTTTCTAGGACACAAAAATGCCTCTTTTTGTAACACCGTAGTGGCAGGAATCATTTTCTTGAAATTTACTTGGTTGACAAATCTCTCAGTGGCTAAGCTCAGGTTTGTCTTGTTAACACATTTTAATAGGTCATCTGCTGACTCAGAAAACATGAGAATTCACAGGAGAAATTCCTCCCCCTTGGGGTAATACCAGTGAAAAGATGTTTTCAAAGATTTCAGTGGTTCTGCTGCTTTCCTTACTTGAAAACCCAAGCTAGGTCTTCCCGCCTATTCCGCTTTCCTGTTTTTGTTTGTTTGTTTTGCGTGGAACTGTAGAAATTGGGCATACCCTCTTGAGCATCCCAGGTATTGAAGGGGTTGGATTGAAAGCCTTATAAAAATTTCAAGCAGGAATTAGTAGGAAGCCTCATTTCAGAAGTATTTCTTCAGAGAAATCTATCTGTGGGAAGTCAGACTGTATTTTGTCTATTCAAATTGGAATGCCTCTGGAATGAAAATGGGCCCTGCCCAGAATATCAAAGCTGTAGTTTAGTCGCAGTGCATCTTCAGGAAGTCTCAGTTTTACTCGAGGAATTAGGAGAAGAAATATGTTCGTATTAAAACCAACACATGCATATTACAGAATGGAATACAAAGTTTGTATGATTGCGTAAAACAGTTGCCCTAAAAGAACTTCAGGTTTCTGTTGTAGGCCACATAGAGCCACACTGTCTTACTTGGGGATTATGCTGTTTAGTCTCTGCCACAGGGGCCTTTCACCAGCTAAGCTCTAGATCTTACAACTTCTAATAAAGTGGTCATTTTACTTAAATCTGAAAAACGTGTGTGGGCTGTGCTATAGGAAGGGAGCTAGCACTTACTGAGTACCAGGTGCTGCAGTAGATGGTTTTTCCTGTGTCATTTAACACACTCTACCTCTGTGAGAGAGGATTTCGTTTTCCTGATGAGGAAGTCGGTCCCTGAGACATAGAGAAGACTTTTGCTCCGTCTGAAATCCAGGTGTTATATATTACTTACCAAAGGCATTCCAATTCAGTCATTCATTTGTCATAAATGATCTAATCAGGAGTTTTCTTCATGTTTTTGTCCTTAAAATTTTTTTAGCGTGGACATTTTTAACGGGAGGGAGCATGCGCAGAAAAAGTCTGTAGAGAAAAAGGCTTTTTAAGGGCTTTAACAGAGTCGTGTTTTTAGTAATTTGTCAAAAAGTAAAGGATGTTATGGCCCCATTTTATGTTCACATACCAGTTTCATTTGCATGATACAAAATTATAAACACACAGATCTCAACAGATAGATAGATAGATAGATAGATAGATAGATAGATAGATAGATAGATCGATCCTGAAAATACCTGTTTTGGGGAATGTGGACTACCTCAAGCTTGCCACATACTGGCTTTCAAATCCCAGCATAGTTCTCGATTTAGAATAACTTTCAGTCTGCATGGTCTTGATTCATCGGGTAATAGTTATTTTTTAATCTATTCTGCTCTCCCCTCAGATATCACTTCCTGCAAGGCTATTTTGGTAGCATGTAACTTTTCATTCTTTTAATCAAAGTGCTAATGTAATAGGCAGTTTGCCACTGGATTGCAGGGTGATTAAATTTGTAATTTAAGTTAAAATATCCTTTAACTGTTACTGAATATAAGTAACCCATACAATTCAATGTACTGTTTTAAGCTCTTATTTTGAGTAAATTAAGAGAGTCTCATTTTTCTCATTAATGCTTTGTGAATGGTGGGAGTAAAGCAACATAGCTTTGAAGAGCAAAACAATTAATGTTTTGGAAATGGAAATATGTGAATTAGCCAAAGAGTGGAAAGAGACTGCCTTGATTACACTGGTGCTGGTTATTACTATTCCTTTACGAACAGTAACGAATGAGCTGAGCACAGGGAGCGGCTCCTTGCTTAGTGCGTTCCAGATTTAGAAATAGAGAGGCTTTTAAGAAGAAAATGCCTGTTTATAGATTTATAAAAAATGATGAAAATGATAATGGTTCTGATTTCTTAAAATATACTTCTCTTTAAAAGAACTAATGGACTCTACCATTGTGTAACACTCTCTTGCTCCGCACTTATTTTTAATTGGGGCTAGAAAATATTAACATAACTTAGTTTGTGCTTTGTGGGATAAGGATAACACCCATATTGCATTAATGCAATTTTACATTCTACCCTAAATTACTTTTCTGTAGAATATTTAATATTCTCACTTGCTTTATTTTGCTATTTTTGTTTGGGCGCTGTTTCTCCTAGTTCTCCTAGTTTTTCTTGACCCCTGAAATCCTTGTTGAACGTTTCCATCCTTTCCTCTGGCCCCTCATGCAGGAAGCCCACGGGGAGCTGTGGCTGGTTCTGTCAACTCAGGGGCAAGGCATCACCGATGGCTTCCTTCTGGGTTCTTAGTGGCATCTCCTCCTGCTATAACCCCCCTAAAAGCCAGTCATCCTAACATCCCTCAGGGGTATGGATAGGTTGCCTTTAGAGACAGTTCAATTATTTGTCTCTTTGAGAAGGCAATTATAATTTTTTTCTAAGATGTTTTATTATTGTTTATTGACATGAAAAAGCCTAATAACACAGGTTAATTTATTCTTTCTCACCAGATACAGTGTTTTCTTCACAGAAGTCAAGGGAGAGTGAAGTTGTTAGATTTTTATTTGAAAAAAAAAAAATACAAACACAGTTCAAATCCCAGCAGCTAACATTCTTATATTTCTGCTACAAAAAATGTATAGACAAACTGCTAATTCTGTAGAAATTGAAACACATAGGAATTTTCTGTAAGGGATTCCTGAAGTGGTTAGAGATTGAACTAGATGGCTTTAAGTTTCATTTTAATCCTATAAACATTGATTACTTCTTCATGATGTATGATAATAGAGCTGTGGGTGTTCCTGTAGCACAGGTCTATACAGATAAGTAAATGGAGAACACAATTTTCAAAGTTGCCATTATTTTAGACTAGAATAACAGAAAAGCTGTGTATCTGAGACAAAAAGGGTGAGTCTTTCTGTTCTTCACTGGTTGTTAATCCAGGGTTCCTCTTTAGGAAAGGCATTTTCAACCTATGGCACATAGAGATGTAAGCAGAAGGATAAAGGAGCTAAAAATTGAAAAGAAGAGACTTAGGTATTTGAAGGACATCCTTAAGTATTTGAATGATACGAAGGAAAGGTATCTTTTTGTGTTGTTTCAAAAAGGCAGAACTTGAATGACCAAAAAGACAAAAACAGTCAGGTAATGAATTGTTAACATAAGGACTTCTTGACTTGTGGTTACCTGAAAACAGAATGGATTGTATTGACTGAGAGTTCAACATTAGGTCCAGACAGAAGAGCGTGAGATAGGAGGGTGGTGAGATAGGGCTCCTTCCCATCTCCGTTTCAGGGTCCATGGTGCAGACTGTAGGGTGCTCCCATCTCAGTTTCAGGGTCCATGGTGCAGACCGTAGAGTGCTTCCATCTCAGTTTCAGGGTCCATGGTGCAGAGTGTAGGGTGCTTCTGAGTCAGGAGGAAATTCTTGAATCCAGGGTGGGATCTGGAGGGACCTGATGGCAAAGGGCAGAGGAAAGAGAGTGGCAGGCCTTGGTCCCCAGGCAAGACCGATGACTGCCCGGCCCACTGGAGTCACATATGTTGCTTCTGTCTCACCTATGCAGAGGCAAGTGGGGGCCTCCCTCTTCTACAAGACATTCATAGTGGAAATTGAAAAGGGAGAGGGAAGGAGGTGTTTAAGCGTGTTCTGCAGGCCCATCAAGTGGGGCCTATCTGTTTGAGCCTGTTAAGTTACGTGAACGGGTTAACTAATATTGTTCCAGTAAAAGAATTGTGCTTGTTGAATGTGTGAATGTAGATGATGAATTCCATCTTATAGCCATGATTAATGGAGGAATAACTCTGGGATTTTTGACAACAGTTTTTAGGTAATTTATTTTAAAATTGTAGAGCTAAAAAAATGTAAAAAGTTTTATCTTCCAACAGTGATTTTAACCTGGTATTTTGTATTTAACTTTCTGTGTGTGTGTATGTGTATATGTGTGTCTACTTGTCTTAATGTGTGCATTTTATGTCTTGTGCTGGTGGAGTTTGTGGAGGGAGATTAATGTCAGCCTGTTGTTAGTTGCAGGACGAGGAGCGGAGGCGGCAGCAGCAGTTAGAAGAGATGCGCAAGCGGGAAGCGGAAGACCGAGCGAGGCAAGAGGAAGAGCGCCGGCGGCAGGAGGAGGAGCGAACAAAACGAGACGCTGAAGAAAAGGTTATGGTCCTCTAAGGGCAGCTAGAATTTTACCAAGTTAGCCTGAACGTAATCGATTGGCTGGGGCAGAGCGGGCTGGAAGTTCTGTGTGTCTTAAGAAGCACAAGGCAGAGCAGGGCCTGGCTCCCCCAGCTTTGTGATTGGACCAGCAACTTTACCCCGTCTGGCCCACCTACCTCTCTTCTGGACTGTCTCCAGATCCCCTTATCTGCCAAGTTTTGTCTCCCTCAAACTTCTGAACTCTTGGGTGTGTGTAGCAGTGAGCCTCTTTGCAAAGGGTTCGTTTCCTCGGGCACTCATCTTTACTGGACATGGCCCAGCTTGTCATTGTGAAGGTGACATTTGTTCAGTGATTGCTTAAATGGCATGTGGACCGTGGGAAGCAGTAGAAGCATAGTAAGACAGTTGGCTGCCATTCAACATTTCAAATAGATGGTTTACTCAAATCACTCACTTCTGGTTGATGGTAAAGAGAGCAGATGGCTTAGAAAACATGATACAGGAAAATTTAGTATGTAATCCAGTAAATATTCTGAGTTACTTATTTTCATTTGTGTGTGTGTGTTTTTAAGTCAAGTAACCCTTTTAATTGAATTTTAAAATGACAGCGAATTTTGACATTCTGAGAAATGGGGATTTTGAGATGTTTCTCTCCATATCTCCCTTCGTCCTGTGTGTGGCCAATGCCCTCTGGATGAAGAGGCTGTAGCCATTGAGCTCCCTGTGGGGGCCTGTTTCATCCCGAGGGGACTGCGTGTTGCTCTGTGTGGTTTGAGAGAAGCTGCTCTTCTCTGTTACTTCCCTTCTGTGAAGGTAGAAGCTTTCAGTGTTACAACTTCTGATGGCGGAAAATTTAGTTTTTATTAATAATTCCTTCTTCGATAGTCTAGTGAACTATATTAATAGAACAGTGTACTGTTCACAGAAAAGAACTTGTAGGGAGTTTTTTGTAGTGATATGATCTATTAGGATATAGAGCAATCTAAGAGTAAGCTTGATAGACATGATGTGACTTCACTTAAATGGAGTAGAGTGAATAAGGACACTCACCTGTGTTGAAATTGGTGATTTCTGCATTTCGTAGACCTTTGCCCTCTAAGTTTATTATCATATTATCTGTTGACTCTGAATAGCGTTTGAAGTCCTTTCAAAGAGTTTGAGCTTTCAGGATTAGGTTCCCCTATGAGTCTTTCACTTGTGTAATGGTAAGTCAACATTGATGATCTTTCTAAGGAAATCAGATTTCCAAAATGCTGAGCCGCTTGATGTCTGAGTGTTGGCGGTGTTTGCTGCTGCTTTGCTGTTCCGTGAAAGCAGCCCTGGCTGCTTGGAGGGCTGTATTTTTCCAGGTCAGTGCCAGCGTGGCTGTCCCAGGCCCTGCACAGTGCCCATTGTTACAGCTGGGCCCAGTCCTGGCCACGCTGGAGCCTCGACGGGGGCAGCTGGGTTGTCACGGCAGCACAGAGCACATGCAGAGAGGACCAGGCCATGTTTTTCCTATGTTGAGAAACTCTTGGGTTATTTAATTTTTCCAATGTGTTTTCATAACTCATGATTATGTCAAATACACTTGTGTTAGTAACTGCTTCTATAATTAAGTGGTCACTGTAAAAAGAAGGCGAATAACCTATTTTTATATCAGAATGTCCAAAACTCATGGGTTTGCTTTGTTATAGAAAAATGTGCCATTCATTTGTTGGGTAGAATAAAGTCGTCTTGTAATTGTATCTGCTCTTGGTATAACTAAAAGAGGATGTTTTGATTTCTCCCTAAAATGTTATCAAGCAACTGTTCTTCATGTTAATACCAAGATTCTTGATAGTTCCATTTAAAAGCCACAGGAAGTCATTCTGGTTTATTCCTCACTCCAAGGGAACACTTACTCTGTGTAGACAAGAAAATGAGAGTCTTCCTTCAGGATTTCTAAACATAGAGCAAGAAGATTCAATGAGAAATTGGGCTCAGGGCAGTAATTGGGCTGGCATTTATTCTTAAGAGTTTTCTCCCTCAAAAGGTGGAGTGATACTGCATATTCACTCGTGTGTGTGTGTGTGTGTGTGTGTGTGTGTGTGGCTCTAGAGGGAGTAGGGAGAAAATACAGCATGAAATTGAAAATAGGACTAACAACTTTTCACTGAATGCCAGCAAGGTCTCTCAAATTAGTTTTCTTTGGTTGAACGAATTTAAAATTCATTGTACTTCATTTCACAGCATTAAACATTTACTCGAGGCAGTTTATTCTGTTTGCTCTTTCATCCCCCTTCTTATTTACTTTTTTCTTGTGCTCTAAAACTTTTGTCAATCTTTAACAAAACTGTGCTGTTACCTTTTTTTAATGTTAAAATAATTTTAACACTGTCAACTGTAGTTTGTGCAGATGTATGTGAGAAAAACATGTACAGTATGTGTCAAAATATATTTGAATCTCTTGTTGCTGTTGCTGTTAATTCCTGGCTCTCTAATTTTCTGTCTGTCAGGGAGTTCATTAAGATTTGAAATATAAGTTGAGAACTATGGAAAGCATATTTGTTAGATTGTTACTTTGGGAGAACGAGTGTTTTTTGGGTTTTTTTTTTTTTTTCATTTCTGGTTTCCTGTTGATCTCCTTCCTAGTAACCGGAAGTAGACAGGGTGGTTCAGTCACGTCCTCCTTGTCCAGGAAGGACTGCTCCTCTGCATTCATGGGGGCTCAGTGAAAAAGAACGCAAGTTTGCCTTTCGGAAAGTGCTGGCTATAGAAAGCCAGTCACAGCCTATTTTTAGTTTTGCGTTATCTTTAAACACTGCAGTAACAGGTAAGTTCATATCCTGCCAAAATCAGAGGAGGAGAGAGAGAAGGAAGTAACAGGAGCATGGAGGAGGGAAAGAAGGAAAGCAGAGGAGAATTCAGTCCACTGGGATAATGGAGAGGCATAAGTGACTGGGAAGCAGGAGGCTGAGAATTAATCCATTCCGTGCTTTTGAGCAGTTTTCTGTCAAATAATCCAGAATAGTGTTAATTACTTGTAAGCCTAGGGAGAAGACTCCGGATGGACCTGCTGCTTCTGTTATATAGTAATTGTAACTATTCAACTTTGACGTCAGTGTGATGATGAGGATTGTTCCCTTTGAAGGCCCAGTGGGTCGGCTGTTCCCTTCTGACCTCTGACCTTTGCACTCTTGTCTATTCCCGCCCGCAGAGGCGACAGGAAGAAGGGTATTACAGCCGCCTGGAAGCTGAGAGGCGCAGACAGCACGACGAGGCGGCGCGCAGGTTGCTGGAGCCCGAGGCACCTGGTCTGTGCCGCCCTCCGCTTCCGCGGGACTACGAGCCCCCGTCCCCGTCCCCCGCGCCCGGCGCCCCTCCTCCCCCGCCTCAGCGAAACGCCTCCTACCTCAAAACCCAGGTCCTCTCCCCCGACTCGCTGTTCACTGCCAAGTTTGTTGCATACAATGAGGAGGAGGAGGAGGAGGACTGCAGCCTAGCAGGTCAGGATAAGTACTCCAGCACGAGAATGTCTCATGGGGACCTTCTTCCTGCCCCTCTTAAACCACGGCCACCCCCCTGCCAGCCACGCCCGGCCTCCGATGGCATCTTTCTCTCGAACTCATTCCAGCCATCCCCAGCCAAAGCCAACAGTACTGCTCACAAAAAAGGCCAGCCCCCGCCCCCTCCAAAAAAATCCAGCTCCTACCATCCCAGCCACTGCAAAGGTAGAGGTAAAAGAGTGACAAATCAGCGCTCGTTGTCTTAATGATTGGAACCTCAGCATCTCTCTGCACACTTGCCCTGTAGTATGGTCCATGGCGATCGTACTTGCTTTGGAATTTGGATGTCACATGATCACTGGTCTCAGCATGGTGATCCTCCTCTGCCTCTGATTGTAATGTTCTTTGCTAATACTCTTTGGTAGATATCTTAGTACTCCGATTTCTTTTGCACTTTAAAAAGTTCCATTTCTTTGATCAGCTGACAATCAGTCCTTCTGTGTTGTTCCCAAATCACTTGAAGTACTGTTGGTCTTGGCTTTCATTTTCTATCTCTACAAATGACCTTATATTTGTTTGAACAAGTGCCTTTTCACACATTGTAGTGTCTCTAAAGACAAAGTGTTATAATTACATTTTAAGTTTCCATTATTTAATATTGGTAGAACTTTCTGTTCTGGATTAAGTAGCCTGTGGAATAAATCATGCATTCTCATGGTGGTTTGGTTGGTGTGGCCGGAGCATCTGCTAAGCTGGTTAACTGTTGGCTTCATAATCTCCGTGCAGGCTGCCTCACGCCAGAGTCCAGAGACCCCAGTTACAGTGAAATTCCTCTCATCCCCTTTTCCTCTAACTGGCTTCACTGCTTCCTGTTACTTGCACTCTTAGCACCTAGTAACACCAGCAGCCAGACCTTAGCAGGCGTGCAGCTGACCTTAGGGAAACCCCCTACGCTGACTGTAGAGCAGGACAGTTCTGCAGGGGGCAGGGCCTAGAGGCTGTCACAAGCATGGGTTCAGTAGTCAGTGTTTTCGAGACACCATGTTTAAAATATAGCTGAATTCATAAGGATTCAGATTTCACACTAATCTTACCTTAAATGGGACTGGAATTCTGGCACTAAATATCTTCAAATACAGGAGTATTACTTTTAATGAGTGTTTGAGAGTCTTCTGAATCCTGTATCATTCTGCATAAACAGTGTATGGGACTCGACAATTCTGAAAGAAGAATAAGACTCAGTGTAACTGTCAGTCTTACTCAAATAACAGATGAATTTTGCCAGAATTCTGTCTTTTTCCCCCCCGGCTCAGAGCTTTGATCTACTTTGAAGGTTTAATATATAATAATATTAGGTTGAGTCACCTTGGAAGCCAGGATTAAATCACTTTATGAAATATCTGTTGTAAATATCTATAATTTAGTACCTTTCAGAGAAATTTATGGAATAATGGTACATTTTGAAGCAGGATGCCATCAGTCTCCTTGTATGGAGTTTTTATAAGCTGAACTTAAGATGACAGAAATGTGAGGTTTGGTAGCCAAGTATTATAGTGAGGTGTCACTGCTCACCATCTTGGCTCTCAGTCCTACCACTAACCCTTATTTTACTGCACACGTGAAGTACCACACAGGACCAGGTCATAGCCGACATCTGATTGCTCCGCCTCTTCGAAGACTTCTTCGTAATGTACAGAGCCGTCTGCACCGTGTGCAGAGCGCATTCTGACCTTGTCCTCCTCATTTCACTAGCATGGTCTCATTCCTTGCTCAGCTGTTTCTGTCGTGAGCACTCTGGTAAAGCGTGCTTCTGCAGATGGACTTGGCTTCTTCCCCTGGACAGTGAGAGGAGCAGCATTAAGATGTGAATTGGAATGAGTAATACCAGATTTGAACATAGCACTATATGAAAGATTCATCAGTAAAGCTTTTGAAAATGATCTGTGACTTGGAGTATTCATAGAGAGTCAGCTAAAGATATTTGATACTCTTAAGTCTAAAAGTTCTGAAAATTTTGAAGAATTAATTTTACCAGTGGAAAAAGCCAGTATCATTCTTAAAACAAAGCTCAAAAGATACAACGCAATGTTTTTAAAAATAAACAAGATAAAAAATTTGGAATTAAAGTGGGAGAAAAATGTCTCCATGCAGTAATTTATCTAAAGGCCCGCTATAGATTGTCATAAGGTAGGGATGTGTTTCTGTTGAATCTTTTGAGTCTTAGCTGAGGATGGCGTCCTCCACAGTGGTGGTGGGAAACCTGAGTAAAGGTGCAGTGCAAAGAGGCGCCCTTCAAAAGGCAGCTGTGTCTCGTCTGCAGTACGCCAGATAAGTTCTGCACAGCAGGCCCTTTTGTAGAAGAAGAGAAACAAAAATGTATTTTTGTGCAAGTTGTTTGAAAAAGAATTTTAATGTGAAAATATTGTACTACTTTTGTGGCCTGTTTAATCCAATATTCATTGCTGTCAGTGTTTGCTAAATAGTTTGAGCATTTGTTACTCCAGCCTGTATTACACTGTCAGCAGATTTTTCAAGTGTGAATTTTTCTAATGCTACAATTAATAGAAATACATTAACACTGATTTGCTGTATTATGATTTTAACAATATGACATTGATTGTTACTTGGATACACTTAGCGACATTATTACTTGGATACATTTAAAACTTTGTATCTGCATCACATCTTTTGATCCTTAGCAATCCCCTGAAGCCAGTAGGAACAGGGCAAATGTTGCCGATGGATTGATGTTACACTCACCCAGAATGGGTTGATGTTATTACACTCACCCAGAGTTGCTCTGCTGTCCGAGGCAGAGCGGGGCCATGGGCAGTATTCCTCTCTAATAATGAAGGGTGTCAGGTCAGTTTTTTAGCACCTTTTGAGAGTAGTAATTGGATTACTCAGGCCACCAACAGAGATGAATTTCAAATTGATGAAATTTTGATACAATATGAAGGGTCTTTTACCTTCCTGCTTAATCTGTAAAGGTATTTTTTTATTCTCTGAGCACTGCATCTTTATCATGAGTAAAGCTTAGAAATAATGAAGTACTTTAACTTGTACTGTTTCTTTCATGGAAAAGGACCAAACTCTTACCCAGGATCTGCCGGAGCAGCTGTTGGAGCCCATGACGCTTACCGGGATGCGAAAGAGAAGCGTTCTAAAAGGTATGGACAGTTGCGCTAGACAAAGAACTTCATCTGTACCTGATGACCCCTTTCACTCTTCATGGCACTTTTAAATTATATAAACAGACTTCATGGCTTCACTCTGTGCCCTCACCTCGATTTTAGTTAGAAATGCTATTGCCCCAAGTGTTCTTAAAACAGTGAATGTGAACTCACCAGAAAAGTCATCAGTACCGTTCTGTAGCTTCTTACTACTCTGGCGTATTTACAGACGCCTCTCAGGCACGTGTAAGATTCCTTAAAGTGTGTGTGTTAAACCTGTGCCCCTCAGGTTACACTTGTCTCACTGGTAAGAATTGCTAAAATCTAACTTACAAGGTTTTTGAGAGTGGACTATGACTGGGGAAAGTTAATGTTTTAGCCAAGAAAACATGGTGCCCTTGTTTTCTAGATGGGTTTAAACACAGCCGTGATTTAAATTGTAGGAGAAGTTACAGCACAATTCAACAAAGAATGAGTCTGATAATTTTAATTGCCGTCATGCAAACGTATGTAATTGTTGACAGGTGGTTTCTAGTTTGTCCAGTAATCTTTCGTATTGCCCTCTTCTGCAGCCAAGATGCAGATTTACCTGGAAGTTCTGGGGCCCCTGAAAACTTGACATTCAAGGAACGCCAGCGTCTTTTTTCACAAGGTCAAGATGTATCCAATAAAGTGAAAGCCTCTCGTAAATTAACAGAACTGGAGAATGAACTGAACACAAAATGAAAAAGAAATGAGGAGGACACTTTGTATTTACCCCAAAATCTTCTCGGTTGTGGGTTTGTAGGTGCGAGTTTGAAGAGGAAGGAGGAAGGGGGTCATATTTCTAAGTGATTTGCAATTTCTGTTTCTAAAATTGTTGGGATTTAGAAATGTTTCAATTCCAAGAAAATTTACTTTACCATGAGCTTGCCATTTACGTAACTTAAA